CATCCATAAATTGTTAATACTAGGAAATGAAGAAACTGTGGTAAGTTACAAATCAAAGTATTAAAGCCTAGAGGAAATGAAGAAACTGTGGTACAAATCAAAGCATTAAAGCCTAAAATACCTGTTAAACCGAACGTTCTAAGATCCCACAGTATCAAATGGTTATCTGTCCCTCCAGTTACTAATCTGCATTTTCTTCTCAGCAAGGCTGATGCTAATGCTTGAGCATTTTTCTTCACCTGCTGGATATAAGTTCTGTATTCAGGAGTAGCCACTTGTTTAAAGGTTATAGCCAGAGCCGCAATATGGTTATTGTGAGGGCCCCCTTGCAATGCAGGGAAAACAGCAAAATTTATCCGATCTTCAAAATCATATTGATCGCTTTCTTCTGGTTGACATAGAGAAAACCCCCGCTTCTTCGCTCTTTTCCCTTTCCTGAAAAATATTATACCACCCCTTGGTCCCCGAAGGCTTTTGTGTGTAGTTGAAGTAACAATATCACAATAATCAAATGGGCTCTGGCACTCCTGTAAATGAAAGCATTGGGGGAAGAAAAGAAATCAGTCGCACTTCTGATTAAAAAGACAACCAATTGGCGGCTCAGTTACTTTTACAGCATGCAAGCAAAAATGAATTACATTCAAAAAGAGGCGTCAATTTTGTTGATCTGCAATCATGTTCCTTGTGTACACTTCACATGTCATCAAAATAAATTAACAGAAAAGTAACACTGCAAGTGTAAGAATCAATTAACATCATGCAATTTACCCTTTTCTCTATTACAGTATTACTTGTGCTTTGTTACATTAACATTGAAAAGCTCCACCTACCTTCTACTCCAAAAAATCATACATTAATTGTTTCACGTTTGATTGTTATGAATAGTCAACTAGCAAACAGGTTTTACATCATCAAATGTTTACCTACCCTATTACCTAGAATAGGCAACTTCTAACCTTGCTCCTTAACGGCATGAAAATGCGTGCAAGGTAGGTTTACACATCTGATTACTTGTTTCCAAGTTACATGACAAGGTCCTATCTCGCTCTAGAAAGCATGACTTGAGAGCTTCATCTACCTACCTAAAAAAAGCCCCTCAAGCTTTATGCCAAGGTCTGCTCTAGCTAATTGCTAAGTATGCTGGAAATTTAGCACCCACTTGTACAGGTAATCATGGACTCATATATCATGTCGCGTACACGTGAATATCGGACAAGACACCATAGCTATGAAGACCCAAAATTTAAGAAGCCTAGGATTAAGATATGGCATGCCGCAAACTAGAAATCACAATGAAATATATCATCAGGCTCTTTAAAAAAATTAAAATAAACACAAAAAACACTTATCAGGTTTTATATCAGGCAATGTTTTGCTGAATATGTTCATAACTTAACATATTAACAAATTAGGAGATCAACATACAAATTTTGATCGAACATTAGCGCTTTTGCTCCTTTTCTGGAACTAAGTCATTTTAAACGTGATCGACTAGCTAGCAACATTCGAAGTTCTTAGATTTTGTCCTTTTTAAATGTCTAACCAGGATTGTGCCAAACACAAATACCTTCATTACATTTTTTTTTACTATAGCCCATCTTTGCTATTATGCATCATGCTTACCCATTATGTTTGTATGATTTACCACACATGCAGTAGTTGCACAAGGCTTTCTTATTTACAAGGGAGCAGTATTTTCATTTTATTTTTTTGGATGAAAAGGGAGCACTAGGTTTTGAAAAGGGAGCTCTCCTAAATTGTTTTAAACGTGATTAACTAGCTAGCAATTTTTAAAGTTCTCAGATTTTGGTCCATTATTATGATTATTATTTTATACTATATCCCATCTTTGCAATTATGCATCATAAGACACCAATTATTTTTCTACGCTTTATCACACACGCATTAGTTGCAAATGACTTTCATGTTTACAAGGAAGCAGTAGGTTTTAAAAGAAAGCTCTCCTAAAGCAGCCCTTCAAATTTTTTTCCCACATCTGATCCAAATTAGACAAAGGGCATGAACAATTCTAATTCGTGTGTCAGATACCATTAGCTTTTAATGCCATGAGAATTTGGCAATGGTTTGGGCAAATCTAATAATATCATCTGCGGCCAATGAAATAGGATATCGTTTACGTCTTCACCTCATGAATGTGATACAAGTCTATTTACAAATATTTTTTACACAATAGCCTAACAAATATTATTTATACAATAGCCTTTCATTGATACTTCAGCCTTAACCCTTCAATCTTGTTATATCCCAAAAATCACCAAGTTTAATAAGCACTTAAGAACTGGCCACGTGTCATACTAACGGGCAGAGTCATTTAATGAGAAAGTCCGACCCATATTTAAACACCGTTGATCGCTCTAACGGTCCAAAGCCTGAGGCGAAAGGCGTCTTCAAGTCAAATTCCGCTAAGGGAGTCCAAGTTCAAGATGAAAGATATCTCTTGGTCAGATTCCCCTTGGGAACACCCCAGATGAAACAATTGCCTATCAGTCTCATCAACGTTGTTCCATTTAATGTGTGGCCAATCGGCGCCCATACTTTGCCGCCCAGTTACCATCGCATTAAATGCATGGACAAAGTCTTGATGACTCATTGGACGTTGCCTGCACTTTCGCCATTTTGTCGTTATCACATTAAATGTGAGGTAGGAGTACCTTTACATTCACCCAACTGGCCGTCGACGCGTGTAAAGTGGAGTTAGCGCCGACTCCACCGGTCAGGTCGAATTACCAATGTGCCCCCACAAATTCTCTATAAATAGTGCTTAACCCACTACACTAAGGAACGCTTGATGAAACCCAAAATTAGATTCTGCATTCTAACAGTTTGCTTTATCTATCACTACTTGAATGTCGGAAGGCATGCTGGGGGAAATCTCTTCCGGCCCTGTAACGTGTGTTACATGTGCAGGGATCTGCTTCCCTCAGATTAATCAGTCATTTGAGAAGATTAAGGGACGCTAAACTCCTCCAAATCTTCTCCCACTCATACAATTAACTTTCTAAAATAAACAAACATCATTACTCATGTATTGTCATCGACATAAGGGAAACAAATTTAGCTAGACAAGTATCAACTGACAACCTATATTTGAAATAGCCTTAGTTTTTATAATCAACCACGCTCAAGATAAAAGCACATACCTTGGCAGCCACAAGCCCACTAATGTGTGCCATATCACACATCAATATAGCCCCACACTTATTTGCAATCTGCCGAAACCTTGCATAATCCCACTCTCTCGGGTACGAGCTCCCCCCGCAAATCAATATCTTCGGATGAAAATCCATGGCTCTCTCCTCCAACTTATCGTAATCAATGTACCCAGTATGCGGATTAACTTTATATGGCAAACTCTCGAAGAATATTGAAGCCCCCGATATCTTCTTCCCACTAGGAGTATAATACCCATGGCTTACATGCCCGCCCGAGGGTGAATCCAATCCCATTATCCGATCTTTCGGCAACAATAGTCCTGTGTAGACTGCAAAGTTAGCAGAAGTACACGAATAAGGCTGAACATTTACACCCCAGCACTCAGGATCGAGATTAAATGCAGCGAGAGCTCGATCCCAACACAATCGTTCAATCTGATCGATGTATTGATTGCCCCCATAGTATCGAGCACCGGGCATGCCCTCAGAGTACTTGTTGGTCAAGTGACTCCCCAGGGCATCAAGCACAGCTCTACAAACATAGTTTTCAGAAGCAACCAATTCAATCCCTGTCACCTGACGACACTTCTCCTTCTCCATGACCTCGAACAGATCGGGATCCGCCGCCGATAGCGGCTGATTCCCCCAAGATTTGACCTTTGATCTCCTCGTCTCCATGTCAGGATCGATGGCTTGCTTCTTCGAAGGATGGAGAGATGTCGACGAGGAACAAGATGAAGATTCCCTCTTCTGCCTCTTTATACACATCGGATACCCTAATATGCGGAACTCCTCCTCCTTCACCCCCTCAGATTCTTCATCATCAATCGCATCGACCGATTCCTCTCTGCGATTCTCCGACTGCTGATCGAGCAATTGCAAGGGGAACGGTCGGGATTGGGCGAGGGAATCGTCGGCGTGGGAGTGAAAACCTAGAGAGAGGCTCGATTGAGGATAATGAGTGAGATCCATTAAAGAGAATCGAGAAACCCTAACCTTAAGAGCAACAGCAACAGAAGCAACGGCAACAGAAGCAGGAGCAGCGCAACGGAGCGTCGATGAACGGGGCGACGAGTGGCAGGAAACTTCCATTAACGGGGAATCGAAAGCTCTTGAGACTTTTAGAGAGAGAAATCATAACCCTATAAAGAGAGAGACGAAAACGAAGACAAGGGTAGCATCTAATGTCAGTGGATGGGGAAGGGAAATGAGGACTAGAAGAGGAGGAGTGTATCGGGACGAGAAATCGGACAGGTTCGTGGACGGTGACACGTTGGTACCGGCAGTAGCAGGTTTTGTCGGTAAGGGTTGATCGGATGTAGGGGCTAGCGTACGATAGATCGCTTGCAACGAAAGGTTGTGTGACACATGGATCAAGGGTGGGTGTTCTCTACCCCGGCTGGGTTCTTTGTGCCAAACCGGGGGCGGAGGAAACAACCAAACTGCCCCCCGCATCAACCCAAATACTTGGTTCAGGACTTCCCACACGGTGCCGGCGTGTGAACGGGACGTGGTGGGGCCAAACACGTGCGTGAAAACCGCGTGAAAAGAAGGAAACCTCGTTAAGACATAGCAGCTATCTCTTCACGAGCCCACGAAAGATCGGAACATGATGGGGGGCACACCTCCAACCACGACATTAACCGTACTCTCTCTCATTTGTTACAGTATACCGGGCCCCACATGGGATTTTAAAATCTTATGTGGGGCCCGGTGTACTGTAGCAAATGAGAGAGGGAAATCCCATGTGGGGCCTGGTGTACTGTAGCAAATGAGAGAGGGAGTGTGGTTGAGGTTGTGGTTGTGGTGTGCCCCTAGTGTCACCTCGAAAGATTTGAGCGCTCATGCTATATATATAGCTTGTTATCAAACCTAGATTTGAGTGCAAGGAGCGGCAGCGTGATTTGTAATAGAGAGTTTAGGTTCACTCGACAAGTCAGTCGTAGAACTGATGAAAGGAGGAGTTGATATCCCACTTTGTTAAGATATTTTATTTTCGGTTCTTATTTCCTTTGTGAAACAAGGATTTAGTTGAGATCTACTCTATTGTCAAGCACCAGAGGTGCTGTCGAAATTTTCGCTGCGCACAACAAGTGGTATCAGAGCTCGGGTTAGGCTTGGGCAATTTGGAGGAGCAGATCGCTTTGGAAGCTCGTCTAGGGTTTCAATTGGAGTTAAAGGTGAGATCTTTTTTGGTAAAGGCTCTATCGTTCTCAAGTTTTGATCTATTGTTCAGTTTGTTCCGCATTGGTTATTGGTGTGTTGAGGAATATGGTCGGGAAAGAAGGTGTTGATGGTGGTACTTCTGGTGTGAAGACCATTCAAAGTTTGAATATCCACCCTACGAAGATAGATGTGGAGAAGTTTAATGGCACGAACAACTTTGGACTTTGGCGATGCGAAGTTTTGGATGCGCTGAACGCGTAAAATTTAGAAGACACTTTGGAGTTGGATGACAAGCCAGATGATATTGAAGAGAAGATTTAGAAAAATATGAATCGGACGGCGTGTGGTATTATTAGGTCTTGTTTAACATAAGATTTGAAGTATGATATGATGAATGAGACTTCTGTAAAGAATATTTGGGAGACACTTGAGAGCAAGTATTTTGACCAAGAGTGTGAAAAATCGATTGCATTTGAAGAGGAGGCTTTATCGCTTCCAATTGAAGAAGGGAAACTCATTAGTGATTACATGAATCACTACACGAAGCTTCTTATGGATTTGACGAATGTGGATGTTATGATTAAAGATGAGGACAAGGCGTTGCTGTTGTTGAGTTCCTTGCCTGATGAGGAATACAAGACCTTTATTCTTACCCTAATTAATGGGAAGGCGTCCCTTTCGTATAGTGAGGTCACCGATGTACTTGTGAACTATCAGCTTCGAAAGAAGGATAAGGAGGCTTCAATTGAGCCGGTAGCGGAGGCATTGGTCGCAAGAGGGAAGAATCCAAACCGAAAGAATTGAAAGTCATAGTCTAGAGTAGGGTATCCTACATTTAGAAAAGATCGGTGTGCTTGGTGCAAGGAGACTGATTATTAGAAGAAAGATTGTCCAAAGTTTGACGAATGGATGAAGAATAAGCAGAAGGGAAAATGGAAGCAACCATCATCAGAAGCAAATATCGTTATATCGGATGTTAAGATTTTTAATACTTCTATTTATTCGCTTTCTATCAGTCCTACAGGTAGCTATTCGGAGAAATCAGAGTGGATGTTGGATAGTGGTGCGGCCTAACATGTGTGCCCTAGAAGAGAATGGTTCTTTAGTTTTGAGAAGCTGGATAGTGGTGTGGTATACATGGGAGACAACCGTGCATGCCAGATCCTTAGGATAGAAAGTATTCGCATCAAGATGTTTGACGAGATTGTTAGGGAGTTATATGATGTGAGATGTGTTCCTTCCTTGAGGAAGAACTTGATCTCAATTGGAGCTTTGGTTGGAGAAGGTCTGAAGGTTCGTGTTGAGGACATGGTTCTCGAGATCATGGAAGACTCTTTGATTGCGATGAAGGGCGCCAGGAGGAATAACATGTACTATTTGATTGGAGATACAATGACAGGTGAAGAGCTGATGACTTCTCTTAATTCGACTAGACTGCGGTATTTGAAACTTTGTCATTCCTGTACTGATTTGGAGATGGGTGTAACGACCTACAATTTAAAATCCAGTGAACACTTTGGTGTGAGCAAGAAGACCGGGGTGAAGTTTGGCACCTCTATTCGTCGCACGGAGGGTCTTTCAGATGGGGTTCACGTGGATGTTTGGGGGCCATCCAAAGAGGCATCATTGGGAGGAAATAGATGTTTGGTTTCCTTTATTGGTGGCTGTTCTAGGTGTGTTTGGGTTGCAACCAAATCCTCTTTGGAGAAAGTCCTAGTAGTATCTAACAGATTAAAAAAGTGTATGATTGGCAGAAAGGTGAATGTACTTCATTCTGGTTTTGGTGGGAGGTACAAGAGGGACTTGTTTCTGCATTGGAACCGAGCTCACGACATTTCGAGACATTTCGTTGAAAATGAAATCTTGGGGCAACTAGATAGAGTGGTAAATTTTGAGAACCGTGCATTGCTGAAGGAAGATCGGTGTTTGTTGTCAAGCAATGGTCCGCAGAAGAGTTTCTGGACTGAGGCTTCGACATATTTGGATCATCCTATTAAAGAGTTATCAACTGTTGTGATTGGAGGTAAAACTCAATTGGATAATTGGTCTAGTAATGTCACATTGGATGAGACTTCGATGAGGGAGCCTATTGACTCTCAGTAGGTGAAGAGTTTTGGACAGATCATAGAGGTATCACAGCAGATGGAGAGTGATGCTACTTCATGTTGGGTGGAGATTACTCCACATTCTCCAAATCATTCTGTATTGTTTGGGATTTCAGCTGAGGTGACACAGTTTGAGGATCAATTGGTTTTGGATACAGATAATAAGTTGGATTTTTGATTCGAGTGCAACTGATAGATGTAGTTTGGATAAGGCCATTGGTTCACCTCAGGTGGAGGTGTTTGATTCGTTATACCTTGAGGCCATTGAAGGTGCTATCAGCCGCAGAGTTGATGATATTAGAGGAGGGTTGCGAACTCTTCTATTGGATTGAGGGCCTTTGGAGGCCATTTGGGTGAACTACGTGAATGCTTGATTCATTGGGCAAGAGGATACATAGGCAGTCTTTATGATGCAGCCGATTTGGTAAGTTGATACCGATATTTGGAGAGTGTTCGCATTCTCATTTGGCTCCTTGACTTGTTGTGGATTGATTATATTGTCGTGAATCGTTTCACTTCGTACCGGACGCAACAAGTGAGACATTTGTTTTGGTTGGTGTCGGCTCAGTTTTGAGAAAACTTCGCCGAGGTGGGGAATTGTGAATGGGACGTGGTGGGGCTAACCACGTTCGTAAAAACCACGTGAAAAGAAGGAAGCATCGTGAAGAGATAGCGGATATCTCTTCACGAGCCCACAAAAGATTTGAGCGCCGAAGCTATATATATAGTGTGTTATCAAACCTAGATTTGGGTGCAAGGAGCTGCGGCGTACAGACGGAAGAAAAGATTCGTGTAGTTTTTTTCCGTGCTGATTTTGAGAGGGTTTGAGCATCCTTTTTGAGGGAGATATTTGTGTGAGATTTGAGATATTGTTTGAGGGTTTAATTTGTATGATTGTAAATCCATTTGTATTTTCTTTCTCTCTAATAGTAGATCTCCCCCCTCATTGCCCCGTGGACGTAGGTAATTTACCGAACCACGTTTAAATTGATTGTTCGTGCTGTGATTTGTAATAGAGAGTTTAGGTTCCCACTACAAGTCAGTCCTAGAACTGATGAGAGGAAGATCTGATATCCCACTTTGTTGAGATATTTTGCTTTTGGTTCTTGTTTCCTTTGTAAAACATGAATTTAGTTGAGATCTACTCTCTTGTCGAGCACCAAAGGTGCTACCGAAATTTCCGATGCGCACAACATTCGATACAATTTGTTTTTACTTTGATATCCCTAAAGCTTGGTTAAATAACACTTACATATCCTGCTGTTTCACCACATTTACCCTTTGTTATAATATGGAAATAACTAAGTGTTAACCCTCCCCTATAAGTCGGCACGTGTCCGGAATTAACTATGCATCATATCGATTCGACTCTATGTAGGACGAGTCCAGTAACGTTATCACTCGACCATCACCAAGAAGGGCTGAATAGAAATGCATCCTCACTCGAGCCCCGTGGTTAAGGACGGCTTTCATGCCTCTGCATTTTCTAAAACCCGATCGAGAAGTTCTCAATCCAAGATGGCCAAATCAAAATGCGTCTTTTTTATCGACCCACTCGAAAAACCGAGCCGAAGGGCGGTCACTCTCAAACCACACGCTAATAGCCGGTCACCAGCACATTAAATCCATGGTCGGAGTCATCATTACTTCAACCTCGAAAGTCTTAATGACTCATCGGACCTCATCAACACCTAATTTCCCCTGTCACTCTAACATTAGTCACAAAGATGACTCATACCATTCGCGGCCGACACCTGTAAAGTATCAGCTGAATAAGTTGACCACTTGGACTCGACCGATGTTACAAAATTGCCCTCTCAAATCTGCTATAAATAGGTGTCTCGCCTAAAACATGAAAGTATGTGATTTCGGACCATAGAACACACTACAATTAATTTTTTTTCTCGTTTACTTGAGATT